AGAGAGAGAGAGAGAGAGAGACCAAGAATGAGAGAGAGAAAAATATATCTTTAAAGAACTAAATCGAACGTAATATGACGGGATACAGATGCCGGCCTTTGACATCTCAACGAAACATACCACAGATCGGAGGGATAAGTCCATACTGTATTCTGTAACACGATTTTCTATAATATTGACTTGTGTTATAAAGTTAAGAACCATAATGGCATTTCCTTATCTAATGATGGTATGGTGAGAGAATTTTTAGAAATATGTGTGGAGTGTTTATAGGTGTTTTTCAGAAGAGCATAATCTGAAACACGCGTAAATCAAGATGATAGTAATTAAACGATAACGACGATGAAGGTGAAGAAGAAGAAGAGGAAGAGGAAGATGGAGATGGAAATGGAGATGACGATGAAGACGAAGACGAAGATAGAGATGACGAGGACGATATTGAAGAAAATGACTGTTAATGGCAGTTCCGGCACAGCCCCCCCCCCCCTTTTCCCCTTCGCCCAAAACTCACATGTCCGCGAAGTCGAACTCGAAGATGGAGGGCGTGTCGTCGATCTCCCTCTGGTCCGCGAAGGGCCTCCTCACGCCCTCCTCCAGGTGATCGTGGTGGGCGCCCTGTTGGCAGCAGGGAGGGCCGCCCGCGCCGCCCATCCGCCTGCTGACGTCGTAGGAGGTGCTCGTGGTCACGCCCGAGGGCTTGGCCACCCAGAACATGGACAGCGCCTTCTGCACCTTGTCCGTGCTGAAGGACTTGTGCAGCTCCCGCACCGCCGCCATCGTGGACCCGCGCTCCATTGCTCGGGCTTCGGGACCGAGGGATCCGCCGTCTTCGTCGGGAACTTGGTGAGTTTTATTTTCGTTGTTTTTTGTTTTTGTTTTTTTGAGGGGGTGTTGTCTTGTGTATTTTTGTTTTTTTGTTATCTATCTTTAATTGAATTTAAATATGAATTTAATTCGTTCGTATGCTTGTGTTCCAATTGGGAAAAATGGCGGAGGCAGAGTATGTGTATTAGCGCAAGCAGTAAACTTTCTTTGTAAAGGACTTCTTGCCTTTTTAATTTGTTCATAGGAAGAACAGTGACGCAAAGACACTCAGACAAACGAAAAATAACACAGAATAGAAGTCAAAAATAAGAATAAAACGAAATACTAGAAACAAAAGCAGAGGCATCAGACGAAGTGCAATAACAGAACGACAGAGATTTCAGAGCATCGAAACCCTTTCTCTCCTAACCCTGCGTGCACCCAAAGCTCTTACCAATAACTCCCACAAAAATAAAGACAAAAAAAAAACCGCCAGGCTAAACAACGCGATGCGACAAACGCTCGCCCAAATAACTCACCACGAAAATAAAAATAGGACGCCAGGTTCACTTAACAAACCCAACCCTCCCCTGACTCGTCCTGGGCGTTCGTGTACTCTTGCGGATTCAAGTCTCCCGCTCGCAGACGGACGAGTCACGAACGACTGCTTCTTGCACGCGGAGGTCAACGGTCTGGGAAGGGGGGAGGGGGAGGAGAGGAAGCGGGCGACGCGGGGATACAGGGAGGAAGAAGCTCCTCGGGAGGATACAGTCCTGTAGGAAACGCCCTTATCTGATACGAAAATTAGAGCTCCGATTTTTTTTTTCTGTTCTTTTTTTCTATTTTTTTTTTACGAATCCGCCCTGATCTTTTAAGAGAATTAGAGTACGTTTTTATTTTCTTCTTTTCCTTTTTTTACGAATCCATCTTGATTTTATGAGGGATTTGAAATTGTTTTATATTTCTCTCTTTTCTTTCTTTTAGGAATGTGTGCAGACGAGGGTTATGAGAAGCTAAAGAAGTCGCTACTCTAACTACTGCTGAAGCCTGATTTGCATGCAGCGCGCGTAGGCCCTACTGAATATACCGAAACTGAGGATCATCACTACACTGGATTTCCTATCTTGAATGCTTTGTAAGGACATACAAGCTTATATTTTCTAATGAAAAGGTGATATGATGCGGTTTTTGTGTATTTATATATACTGTACATTCCTGTTCATTGCATTCATCTTACATGATCTAGTAACGATGCACTGTTTTTGACATTGTTTTAAAGTTACGACGAAATTTTGCCGTGTAGCATCTCAAGCTAACTCAGCGGAGTTTAAAATGTCCTTAAAATCGCTTACATGCTTATAAACCTGTTTTCTTCAGGTATCTGCAACTGCAAGCTTTTACTTTTAAAGCGTTTAATGAAGAGGTTAATTTGCCGTCTGGTTGGTATGTAAACGATTTTGTCTACGGAAGAAACAAAAAAAATGGCACTTTTAATCGCTTTCCGGAAAGTTCACTCGATTTGTCCTTCACGTGATCACCACCGACGTCCTTTTCCTGCCGATCTTTCCTCGCAGGACGAAGCAAACGGGCGGCCACTGAGAGCACTCGCGTCGTCGTTACCAAGTCGAGGAAAATGTACTCGGAGAAAAAGTGGCCATGCAAGCAGAAAGCCCGAAGCCCGGAGCCGCCGCTTTTC